CTTTCCCACTGCCATAATATAGCTTCCCTGTGCCTTTTCTATAAATACTTTCATGGTAATTGTTCTGATAAACTCTCCTTTATGATACTTAGACTTTATGTATTTACGTGCAGTACTAGATTGGCAACTAGGTCTCATCATTTTACAGTTGAAATGGCAAGATGTAACCATAAGTTCTATTATAACAGTTTCTTCTATCAAACTTCTTACTTATAGAAAGTTCTTCTAACTTCTTGTTTTCCAGTCAACTTTGATCTTCAAAAATTTAAATACAATATCAATTGTTATCTTGTCTTCTTAATTCTTGATTTTTTATTGTTCAATCTCCTTAATAGTGTTTTGTTTTTCTTATATTCTCTGACACTCAGTAACCCCCTTACATCTCAGTGGCTTTACTGCCTTGCTTGGGTTGAAATGATTAAAAAAATTTTTGCTAATTAAGATGATTTGAAAATGTGTCATTAGATTTAAAATAGTTTCTAATATCTGCCAATTATTGAAATATTTCAGTTGGAATTCTAGATTTTTATAAAATCTGGGTGGACTAAGCAAATCTGTATTGGCTGCATGTTATTCATTGGTCAAAAAATACAAATGATAAACTTTAAATTTCTGTTGTGTCCTGCTTATTCATTGGTCAAAAAAGAGGAATGTTAAATTTGTTTTATACAGATTTGTGCCTGTAGTAGATATAGAGCTAAACAATCTGCCATAATATTTTATGTTATACAACATGTTTTCTTTTTGAAGTATTTTTTTTTAGTCTGATTTTTGTAGCTGTGATAATTTTTACTTTCATTGGGTTCATTTCAGTATATACATCTGACATTGTTATTGTCAGTCATTGACAGTTACTGAACTTCTGACTAAATGATTTCCATCTTAGCCTTGCCAAAATTATTTCATCTGCAATTTCTTCTCTTCACAAATACATTTTATATTTATATCCAAATTTTATCTATATTGTTATATGTAGACACTCTCCCTGTCTCCCATGAAAGAGATATCTGCAGAGACTCATTACCAGGGTCTTTTGGGTACCTCTGTATTTATAAGGGATTCTGCTGGTTGACAATCTGCATATGTCACACAGGCTTGTATATATTGATGTATTTCCACTGACATACCTGGCTAGGATATCAGGTCCATCACACTTTGGAAATTTATGCCTAGGGGACCAGCATGTGCTTTTTGTTTCAATTCTGACCACATCTTGAGGGAAATGACTATTCTCTGTCCTCCTAAGATCAGTCCATCTTATGCTGCCAATTCATCTCTGTAATCAAAAAACAGTTTTAGAGCATCAGGCAATAGTCTTTTGTTGCTAGGTCAGTCTATGGCAATAACCTCAGCTAGTGTTTTCATTGTGGGGTCTTCCTGTGTCTTAGACCTAATCTCTGTTAGCCTGGGGTCTTTGATGGGATGCAATGTCAGATTGTTCACAATTGTGAGTTCTTTTGCTTCTGGCTTATCTGTGGGTGCCCATGATAGTGCATCTGGAAACGGGATTTCTTTTCCCAGCTTGTACTTGGATCCAGCCAATGAGATCGCACTCAAGAGAATGTGAATAAGCCACAATAAAACAGAAACTGACTGGACAATCATACAAAATTGAGAAAGAGAACAGAGAGAGATACTGTCGTAATAGGCAGTTCTTGCACCAAACAACACAATCAAGGCACTCAGTCCCATGACAGCAACTCGCATTGTCTGACTATAGTCAGTCAGAGGGAGAAAATTTCACATTTGACAAAGAAATAATCAGAGAGAATGAAGTGGAATCAGAAGAAAACCCGCAGTTGAGTGGGGCACCAGTGCAAACACAATCAAGTCATAAAAAGGCCTGCAAGATTCACTAAATGACAGTACTCACTCCATCTTTCATACACCCCCCCAAATTAAGAACTAAGCAAACAATCCTCTTTCTCCCCATAAGGAGGGAGATGTTATGTGTAGACACTCTCCTTGTACCACTTTATATTATGAACCCTTGTTTAGGTAACTCTCCAGAAACAGAGAAGAGCACTTCCTGTAATGATGACTAAACAATAAAGTTGTTATTGTGCATAGTACCTTTCTCATTTCACTAAGAATAAATACATAATGTAACATATATATATATATATTATTGTTTCTACCTAATATGCACTTAAACAGTTTGTGTAGCTCTTTCTGAAAATACTGGCTAATAACTGTTATAAGTTATCCCCACCATCTATTGGAGATTCTATTGTTCTGGTAAAAAGTTTTGCATTCAATAACAATAAAAAATTCCTACAACATTATCTCCAGATAAATTTGTTACTTACTCAAGAGACAAGGAATTACAGAATGCAACAATTAAAACAGAGAGTAAAAGAAAGATATCAAGAAAAGAGAATAACTTTTTAAAATCAGAGAATCAAAGAAGGATATCAAGATAAAATAATTAGCTTTTAAAATCAGAGAGTTATCATAGCCCTTCGCTACTCCATCCACATGACCAAAGGCAGATGTTATATATCTTCATGATCTTGACCTTTTCTTCATTACGTTTCCACACACCCTTCAATTTAAGTTCATTTAGATTTATAATAAACCTAATGACTTTTTAGTTGTTTCTGTGTCCTGAACTTGGTCTGAATACACTTTGTTAACATTTTTAAACATTTTATATTTCATATCACCTCTGAATTTATTTTTCTTGAGATTTTTAGTACTTTGCAGGACCAGTTAATGTTTATACTCCCTTATCATATAATCCAGTGACTTCTCACCAAACTCATGGAGGACGAGGAAGAGAAGAAATGCAGGCCCTGGCCATTGTGGCCAGGGTGCTTGGACAGGTTATGTATTGAATTACATTCCCTTTTATTTTTGTCTGCCAACTGAATGCTAGTTGGGCTTTCTTATCCATTATTACTTTCAGCATTCATAGCCTTTATTATTTCTGGCTGCCACAGACCCATACTTCCAGTATTTCTAGCCTTTATTATTTCCAGCTACCACAAACTCTTACTTCTGGCATTGGGTCCTTATTTTTGGCAATCCTGACCTAAACTACATCTGGTTATCACAGACCCTTACCTCCAGCTATCACGGACCCTTATCCACTGGCATTCCTGGCCTTTATTACTTCTAGACCTTACTTCAACCTAACTCACCTGGTTGATCAGCTTACAATAGCCCTAAACTTCTGGCTACACTAGGTCCCTGCTTCTGGCTTTCCTGTCAACCTCTCTCACCTGGTTTAGGAAATTGCTGTATGCATATCATCCAGACTTCAAATAACCTACTCCATACATTTCATCTAAAATACTACAGAAGGTTAACCATTGGGCTTAATCAGTAACTACTCAATGCCAGTACTGGACATTTAAATTGAATTTTCTTCTCTTTGGCTATATTGTCCAGATTTCAAATAACCTATTCTATAAACTTTGGTTAAAGTACTATGGAAGGTTCACTATTGGACTTGACCAGCAACCACTGAACATCTTTGCTGGACATGTGAACTGAACTTTCGAACTGTGGATTTACATGCCAACTTAACTTACATTGACTCTACTTTTAACATTTAGTCACAGTTGTATTATCTAAATCTTCTAGCCGGTCACTATTCTTCAATTTACTTACTTCTGCTTCCATTACTTGACTCATTGTTTGTTTATGTTCCTTTAAATGAATCACTACTATTGTATACGGTGTAAATAAATTTGGTATTAATTTTAAGTTTGTCATTTGTTGTCCTCTTGTTGACCTGCCAAATTTCATGTCTTTTATTTTTAAAATGTTAGTGGCCTCTTGTGACCTTTATGCATTACTGGGACACACAGGTCATATTATATTGCACCCACTCCAGTGGGGTCCACTACAGAGTCAAAGAAGAATATCAAGAAAAGAGAATAACTTTTTAAAATCAGAGAATCAAAGAAGGATATCAAGATAAGAGAATTAGTTTTTAAAATCAGAGTCAAAAAAGGATATCAGAAGAGAATTAGTTTTTACAATGAATATTGTCTTTACTAAAGTATCTAAATATTATAAATAATGCTAGTAGTTTTTTTATTGAGAATAGGAAGAAGTTTAAAAATGTAGCTACTAATATGATTGCTCTTTTTTTGAATTGTACAAATATATCAATTACTTCATATTCTATTTTAAAATATCAACGATACATCATAGAATTTCCATAGGTTCACACATTATAATTCTGCATCTTTTTTGTTGATAGAATTCTTATTAAAAATAATCAAATTCATAATAGCCTGAAAACTTTAGAATTATCTCAAAATAACTGAAAAATTTTAGTTTCTTTTTGTTATTTCTGTTCATAAAAACTTGGTTAGTTTCTTTTTATCATTTATTCTACAAAACTTTGAGCTGGAACCCCTACTCCTCAGTGAACTCAAGATGGATTCAATTTCCTGATTAAACTACAAGTCTTTTTTTAATAGTAAATTATGACTAGCATTGCCCCCACTCACACACTATTTTTTAGATTAGATTATAATACACTTTGGTTGGATCTTTTTTTTTTAAAGTAACTTCCAAAAATTTTAATTTTTTTATCTTCATTTATCAGTTACCTAATTACCAGATATATTTTAAATGATATCTAATTTTTTATTTGAAAAAGTATGATAATTATACCATCATTGTCATCAGTACTATTCTTTAAATTACAAAAAATATATTGTGCCCCCCCCCTCAAATAAGGGAAGTTCCAAAATGACAATAAAAACAACACAATGATAACTATGACAACGATGCTGCTGCTGATGTCGATGAAAATTATTATTAAAATTTTTTTAATGATAATTATTTAAAAGCAGATTAAAATTATTCATTGATTTAGTAATGTTAATTCTGCTAGTTATTAATTTTAAGAGAATGTTAAAAAAATGTCAATGTTTTTATTATTATTTGGAGTTGAGTCTGTTCTAATCAGCATGCCGCTGTTGCACGCCCCGTGATGCTCTAGCGACATCTGGCGGTCACATGATCAACATTCAAAGCAAATGGCGGCGTTATGCGGTCGAATAAATGGCGGGAATCTTGTCTCTAAACTATTATTCAGGGAGGTAAGAGCAATTGTTTTTAATGTCTGTGTTCCTCCCTAGAGTTGGACATGATTACAAATTTTCATAAAAATGATTCCGGGAAGATAACCAAGTAGCCAGACAAACGTGTAAGAAGGAGCAAATGAATAGGAATAGATGAAGAGAAAATGTGTGGCCGGCCGGCCGACTTCTCTTCTGCCTATTTCTTTCTTGCTTGCTCCTCTTTACTTCGTATCTGGTCATATTTTTTAAGAAATTATACTTTAACCGATATATTCATCTACATATTCTCCATATAGCTTTGTCTCGTTTCATTTTCCTTGTGTTTTTCTTTTGAAATAAACGAATCCCAACACCACTTAACTTGGCCACTGACTTCGAAAATGTCTCTTGGATTCTTTCCACCTCTTTCTTACTCTCCGTCACTTAAAACCATTTATCTTTTCTCTTAGTCTCTCTGTCTTATTCGAATGGTTTTTCTTGGAAACTTCTTTTTATTATTTTTGTTTAAATATCGTTTTTCTCTTAATATTTCACTGAAGCTTTTCACTGAAAAGCTGAAGCATTTATTTATCGCTTTTTTTTCTTTGTCACTTTAGTTTCCTGTACCAAGCGATGGCCTCTACCTTTTTTATTTACGAATACAATTTAAGAAAAAACTAAACACTTTTCCCGTTATTTTCTTTGCTTTGTCTTGTAAATTATGCGTTAACAATTAGAATTAAACACTTCATATCGCTATATTTTGTATGAAGAATGAAGGTCATTTATTTCTATTGCAACTTGACTTGTGTGTAGTTTTCGTCACAGCCATTTTAAAATTCTTACTAGGAATTCTTTTCGTAAAATAGCTTATTAGCTGAATTTTCCTGTAAATATTATTTAAAAAATGAGAATTTATCGAAAAATCTTAAGAAAAAAATAGTTTATAAAAATCCAGAATATTTTTAATGTTTTCCTTTATTTTAAAAAAAAAAAATACAAATATTTTATCCTTGCTGAATGTTTGTATTTATTTATTTATTTATTTTTTTTTTTTGTTATATGTATAATTATTTTAAATCTTAAGGTGGAAAATATCTTATCTGTATTCTTTGTTTTCTAGTTGAAATATATATTTCTCTTATAAAAATTTTAGTTTGAAATGATGACGACTTCTTCCATGTCTTTATCTTCGTCTCGCGTTTTATTTAGAGCAGATATTTTTGAGGTCGGATATTTATAAAAACGTTAAAGAAATATTATTGAGTTTTCATCACATTTATTCCTCAAGATTGTATTTCAACTTACTACTTCAATTATTTGTTTCTATAAACCCAATTTAGACCCTTTTTTTTCTCCTGGATATTGCAATGAGACTTCACTTAGCATTTATAATAATGGCATTCCTTCTCGTACACACACACACACACGCACGCACTTAACAAGTACAAATGTTTTCTTTTTAGATTTAAATTAATTTCTTAAATATTAAAATATTTACATTTTCGTTTGTCTTTAAGAATGGAAGAGCAGAAAATAACTTGGTTATTGTTCAACATTTGTTTTTATTTAATATCTTCAAAAAATATTTGTTTTTGTAAAAATCGTGTGTTATGAAGAAAGGGAAATCCCTCTTCTATGGCGATATTTTCATTTTTATCATGAAAACATCTTGCTTTTCTTCTGATAATTGTCTAAAAATCTAAAAACATTTTGTATACAAATATGATTCAATTATATTTTGAAAATTTTAACGGCGACGCCGTTTGAATTTTTGAAAATTTCAAATTTCCACAAATTTAGCGTTCAAAATTAATTCATTTAATTTCCTTTTAAAATTTCATAAATGCCAGATTGGTGAAAATACAAATTATTTTTTTAAATGAAATTGATCGAAAATTTGAATTTAATTTCTTATAAAAACTTAAATTCTTAAAATGCCATTTCTTTTCTTTTTTTTAAATATTTTTTCTATAAATTTTCTATATTTTATTTTTGAAACTCTTTTCCTGTTAAAAGATGACATTTTGTTTATGCACATGTGTTGCTTTTTTTTTCTTTTAGCTAACCAAAAATATAGATAAAAATGGTTTGGTAAATAAATAAATCATACTAATTTATTTAAAAATGTGTAATAATAGTAAGGCTTTTAAATCTTAAACAATTCAAAATATACTTCATAATTTTCTCCTTTTTAAACTTTGATTTTTGCGTGTTTGTTTTCCTCATTTGTCTCCCAATTATAAAAATCCCTTTTTATCCGAAAACGATGTATGAACGAAATAGGGAATCCCATTTTTCGTTAATAATACCTACTTTTATAAAATATTACTCAACAAATGAATGGAGGCCAAATATGTTTTTTATTTCTTAATTAAAAATTATTTATGGTTTTGAAGTTGTGATCCGTTTTGATATGAATTTATCTTCGAGTTCGTATTCTCTAGAGAATGTCTTAAAGAGACCATATTTTTAATTTTAAAATAAAGGAGAGATACCCCTTCTTTTTTTTATCTTTTTGCTTCCTCGTTTTCTCTGGTGTTCTTCCTTCCCTAAAGCAGCCTCGGTAGTGATTTTTTTCGTTTTCTTTTTTAATATATATCTGTAGGTAATATAGACTTTCTCTGCATAGTGCAGATATTATTATTATACCTGCCCCCCCCCCTTTCTCTCTTTCTCGGGTGGGGGGGGGGATAAACACGCACCTTTTTTGACACAGTTCAACTTTGTTGTTTCCTCGGTGTAAACGACCCCTGAGGGTGGGAGCGGGGGGTCGAGTTTTGTGTGTGTGGTTAAGTGTCATTTTACCAGAGACTGAGAGGAATGGTAGCATGTGCTGCTCTACATTCATACAAACCACTCGTTAAACACCACTATCAACACGACTGCTACAATAACAAGTTAAAATTGGTTTTGGTACTAAAAATTAGTGTTCATTTCAATTATTTAGTATTTACATTTATTTTCTCTTAAACACCAATAGAATAAAATAATAAAAATAAAATCATAACGAAAAAAAAAAAACTTAGTTTTTTTTTATTCTTGTTAAAATTGTTTTGACATCGACTTAAAAAGTCACTTCCGAGATAAATAAAAATGTCAAGATTTTTGTTTTTCTTTTTCTGAATCACAATCATTAAAATAATTTTAAAGATAATCATCTTTATTTTGAATGAGCATATTTTGTATAAGAAACATTTTTCTTTTACTAACTGCCATGAAAACTAATTTCAAGTGGCGTGTAGGGACGGATGCTCGACATTACTATTTTTCTTATTTTTATAACAAAGTGTTTGCTTATAATAATTTACCCGCTTTTTTCCTCTTTTCTTTTTTTTATGGCAACTTCTGGATTAAGGTTTACTACTGGAGGAAACTCGTTCAATCTTTTTTTTTTTTTTTTTTTTCATGGGGAGTCGTTTCTCCCTACCCCATGGTTGAGTCGTGTTGTCTCTAGTCTTACAAATTCCTCGTCTTCATATTGTCAAACTGCAACAACCATACCTAACTTTAACAATCTCTATTTTCTGTAATTGCTTCTCCATTGCTTTCCGATTCTTTATCAAATTCTGGTAGTTCTCCCCCACATCTTTTAATCCTAATCGCCACTTGTAAATAATAGAATTATTTTTTGCTTTATTTTTTTTTTCCTCAGTTACTTCATTGATTTGAATCAAAAATTGAAAATCTTATTTTTGGCTTACTGAAATTTTTTTTCTGCTGTTTAAAAAAATACCTGGACACGGAAGAGATGTTTAAAAAAAATGAAGCTCTAATTTTTTATTGTTGGTTTTGATGTAATAAACTAAACAAATGTTTACAATGCATTTAGACATTTTTTGCCTCTTGTCATCTCCGAATATTTTTAAGGGCTGTCAGCAGTTATTCAGTCCTGATTTTACTTCTCTTTTTTTTTTTCTCTCTCTCTCTCTCTTAATTACACTGATGACCTTCTCCCCTCCCTCTGCTTGTATTTGCCTATTTTGGGTTTTGTTGAACATTTGTTCTATAATATTCTATTCACACCAAAAAAAGTGTGACTTTTTCTTATTTGTCCTTAGTCTTGTTGGGGCATTGTTGTTTTTCATCGTTGCTTGTTGTTCCCATTTCTTGTTTTGTTGTTGTTCTTGAGTCTCACCTCAATTACCTCCCTTGCCATATGTTTGATCACTTGGCACTCACCAAAAAACATCTTTGCATTTTGAAACTTTGCTTTCTTGTTTTTAGGCCAAAAATAGAATTTAGGTTTCTGATTTTTCACTTTCAGCAGCATCTCAAGTTCTCTTTTTTAACTCATTGACTTGATTTGCTTGAAAACTAACAGTAATTAAAACTAGATTTCATTTTCTTCCATTACGAGTTTATAAAATGTTTTTGAAAAAAATATTCTTCATTCCCGAATATTAATACAAAGAACAGTGGTTTCACTTGTCATTTGGGATATGTATGTAAGACTTATTTTGCCTTGTGTAAGTTTCCAACCCCCACCATAAGATGCAATTTCTCATCTTGACTTTTTGATGTCAGGTTTTGGGGGCCTTGCAATCCATTTGTTTTCTACATAGGATGACATAGAAATACATTTCTCTTTTATATTTTTTTTTTTTTTTTTTTTTTTTTTTTAATGGTGGAGCTATTGTACTATAACTAAAATGTTTTGCAGTTGCAACATTATTACTTTTTTTGTATAACTGTTTTTCTACTTTGATACATGGTTTTAAAATATCTTTGTTTGGTTTCTCAATCTCTACCATACAAACATGTTAATCTCTTTGGAACTCTCAAGAAATTGACAAATATTGAGTTATGAAAAATTGGACAGATTTTTACCTACTGCTTTTCTGTTTCACATCGGATAACATATATATATATATATATATATATATATATATATATATATATATATATATATATATATAAGTAATCATTCCTTAAAGAGGATTTATTATTATAGGGTTTGGCTAATAAAATGCTTTTGGTTTCTGCAAATTGCTCCAGTAAGATTATTCAAATCTATTTGATTGAACTGTAAATAGTTTTAATTGTAACTAAACTGGCTTTTATTCTAATTACTGTGTTAAACGCTTGTCTGTTTCAGTTATTGTAATGTAAGATTCTGATCCTTAAAATACTGTTTTAATTAGTGTCTGGCGTAGTTTTAACTTCTTTCCTTGTTGATTCATTAAAAAAAAAAATTACCAATTCTCTTTTTAAAAATGTTATCAGCAGATTTGGATTTTATCTTTGTAAAGTATTATTTATTTGCTTTCAAGTCTAACTAAAGTTTGATATTCTACATCTCTTCTGTTTTACATTTGCAGTGCAAGATTCTTCAAATATTTACTTGCTCGCAAATCCACAGTTCTGTTTATTACTCCTTAAATTTTTCTCTGATCACTTTGATTGTTCTACAATATCTGTTTAATATTTTGCAAAACATTTATGAAAGTTTTCATGATCTTTGTGTCCTTTGTAAGAAGAAAGATTGGCAAAAATTCTGAGATTTTTGTGTGTGTGTGTCTTATGTAAAACTGGAGGCATTTATTTGAAAAGTTTACATTTTGTACAAGAAAATGTGAAAACCACCCAAAATTCTAATTATAACCAAAAATCTGCTAGGATAATTCAAAACTTTTTGTATGCTTATTTATGGAAGCGTCATTTAATTTTATGAAATCTCAATCTTTTGGTACAAAAAATATTTACATACTTTCTAGGGAAATTAAATCAGTTCAAATTTATTGAAAAGTTTAAAGTTTAGTCAAAAGCATAGAGAAAATTATAAACTTTTGTGGGATGCCAAAATGAGCAATTTTTCTTTGGCCACCTTTTTCTTTTTTTTTTTTCTTTTTTTTTTTTTTTTTTTTTTTTTTTCCCCTTAAGCACAAAAAATAATTTAATCAGTGTAATTTTGAATTATGTAACAAATCCCCTTTAAAACCAGTTTTAATTGTACAAATGTATATTTTCTGGCTTTGGAAAATTCTTATTTGTCCATTTTAACATTAAAAGAAATGTAAATGAAATGTGATTTTAACATTCACAGTTTCAACTAATGAATGGGTTTAAGGGTTTGATTTTGAATTTATTGGTAACATCTTTTTCATTGCTGATTATATTTAAGACATTTGGCACAACTTTATAGTGTGTTTCAAATTAGTGGTGCAAATAAACGAAATGTTATTGTTATAAAATATCTCATTCTTTTTATAATAACTTATTTTCTGACCTCACTGTTTCTTTTTCCTCACTAAATGTGACCTTTAAATCTGATACGTTAGTTAAAACTTTCAAGTGATACATACTTAATGGTTTTATTTTATGAAATTTTTCCTTAAGGCTATTACCTAATATGTATTATAAGTAGAATGTTTCACCAGTTTCTCTTGCCATTTATATTAAGAGATTTAAAAAATGGATGTTCTTTGTCACTTGTATTAGGTTGATAACTCAAACACATGCAAATTTGCCAATATTAAACAGGACAGTATTTTAAATTTTGTTGTATTTTTCAATGTTTTAAATGTAAGTTTTTTTGTATTGGTGAATATTTACATTTGGTAACTTTTAATATAGAAATAAAAATGTTGAATATCAATTAGGAAGGAAAATGTGAAGCTTTAATTATGCAAATACTTAGGAAGAATCAATTTTTTTTTCTTGATTTGCCTTTATTCATAGTGCATTGGCATATAAGCCAGCTTTTCTGAAAATCAATTCTGACATATATTCCTATAAGGATTAAAATAATTAAGCAGATTTCTTATCTAAAGAAAAATGTCTTTTGACACTTTTGTTTGCTAGTAAGGTGGAAAAGTTATATATATATATATATATATATATATATATATATAATAACAGCAGAAATGTTGTGAATATAGCAATGAAGATGGGGATAACGAGCCAAATAATCATAATACCCCATCTCAGAGATATTGACAGATATAGGTTTTTAAGGTATCCTATATTTATGGGTAAAAATGCAATATTTTAATATTAATATATACTATCAATATTTAAGGGCATTAATCTTCATTATATTACATTCTCCTTTGGCATAGTTCAATGTGGAAAATAATTAACTTGTAACTTTCAGTACCTCAAAAACCAAGCGAGTGTTGTTTGATCATCACCTTTGTGACCCTGAATTTTCTCTAGTCATAATGAATGGTTCCGCTCTCAGTGAGGCTCCATGCTTTGAATATCTGATGAGGTCTCAACTTTACTCCAAATGGCAATTGAAAGTCTTTTAGACAATCCATTGCTAAAGATACTGGGAAAATAAACTCCTATTGCACCAGGAAGTACTTATACCTTCTACCAATTTTTTTTTTTTTTTTTTTTTTTTGTCTCCTTAATTCCTGTTATTTTATAGGCTTTTTTTTTTTTTTTTTTTTTTCTTTTCTTTCTTAGATTCTTTCACTCTCAGTAAACCCTTATCTTAGTGACCTTATCACTTTGCTTGGGGTGAAATGAGGAAAAGAAGTAAGATGCAACACTGCAAGCTTAGTAGATGTTCTGATAGCTCTGTTCTTTTTATTCAACCAGTTCATACCTTTAGAACTAGATAGGACATTCCATACTATTTCCACATGATTGAATCACCCTCATTTCCTCAGGGTTCAAAATTAGGCATCTTTTATCTAATTGTAAAACAAAAGCTGGTTTATTAAGTGATCTATAAAGTATTTAGATATACTGAAATGGCTACAATAGGCAGACCTTTTGGAGTTCTTATTACAGGGAACAATTTCACACATTTGTTATACATAAAAATTCAATTCTCCCACTGACCAGTCCTTATCAATTCCCTCTTTTATTTTCTAAATAATCCTACGATTATTAGCTAATTTAATGATTTTGGCTAGAAATGAAGTGAAAATAAAAATGTTATTTTGGCATTTTAAAAATAATTTAAATTATCTAAAATCATTTAACATGTACTCTTAATTCCTTGATATTAACATTGCTAGATTTTAAAAGAAAGACTGCTTAATTTTCTGGTTCTTTTAGTATTGTCTTGCAGCAAACCTACTTCATGTCTAACAAGTGTTTGAAATATATTGGTTTCAATGGGAAAGTATTGTGACTTGCAGTCAGTCAATCACCTCACCACCACCATGTTTGATATTGCATTAAAATCCTTGACAAAAACACTGATATGAATGAAAAATATTGCTCAATAAGGTATATAAATTATTCAAAATTCTAACTTATGAGATTGTCTGCACATCAAAATCTGATGCCCAAGCTTGATTTTCTCCAACCCATGCTTAACCCACTGAGTTGCTTGTGTCCTGGTGCTCCTATAAGTTGGGTATCTTTGTTGATATGCTTTCTTTATGATTTTGAGACTTGTGAAAAGGGAAAAATCCTTGGCTACTTCTATGGGTAATAATGAGAAGTAGAAGTATCTGTCATTATCCATTACTTTAGAAAAGTAGAGTTGCTGCAGAAGCTTTTGATCATGGTGTATATGTGCTTAAGATTACAGGGTTGGTACTCTCTTTGATTTAGTTTTGCAATGACATTGATGAGCAAAAATTAATGAAACCTAAAAACATTTCTGAGATCAAACAAAATAATGAAGGTATTGGCAGTGTACTATTTGAGTGGGATAAACAAAAAAATAAACATATACTACTGCATGTATAGATACTTACTCAGTTTAACTTTCTTTTTTTTTTTTTTTTTTTTTTTTTTTGAAAGTAAAGAATACAGATGGGTGTGCTGAAAAGTTCTTGGCCTGATCAAAAAATAATAACTGTCAGATTTTGGAAAGTGGATTAAGCTAAGAACTTTATAGTTGTGTCCCCTTTGTCTGCTAGTAATTTATGTCCATATCCACTCCATTTACCATTACAGAAGAAATGTTATATTTATAAACAAAATTTATCCCACTCAGTTTAAACCTTCATAAATTTCATTGTAGAAATATTAATGTTTGACATTGCCCATTAATCTTATCAAGTACCAATACAGCATTTGACCATTTCAAAAACTTGTTTTAGTACTGCCTAATTTCAGAATATATAGTATGTATCTGATTGACCCAAAAGTCTTAATGAATCTTGTGTGTGTGTGATGTCTTTGATAACATTATGGCACAGTTTTGATCTGCATGAAATTATTACATTAATCTAAGTAATCACTTTTAGATTACTCTGATGTAGTGTCATGTTAAGCAAACTTGTCTAGCATATCAATTGCAACGAAGGGGTGAGTTCAATCTTCACTGAATGCTCTATACTTGTGACACATCCAAGAATAGTTTTCTAAGCTATTTCTGTCATTTGTAATCAGATAACTAGATATTAGTTAGTAGTCATATTATTGCATTATTTCAGACCTGTTAAGCTGTTAAAAAAAAAATTTGTTAATGGGTGATATTGTTGGTTCTACAACAGAAATTCAATTGTATTTAATTCCCTGGTGGCTCCAAGCTTTTGCTTTCATCCTTTTTACTTATATATGTGTATAAAATAATTGTTATTTTTTGCTGTTATTGATCCAGTAAGAAAGCATTTGTTTTAACTTGTTAGGACAATTGTTGACTTTAATATCTATTCTTTGTTCTTTCTCAGTATTTCATCTTCACCTTTCATATTGTTAGTCCTTTGAAAACTGCTATGGTTGCATTTACTTTTAGCTCTTATGATGCTTTGATAATTTTGAATTCACAAGATACTGAATCTATTAAGATAAGTTTTGTAATCAATCACTTTTCTCAGTTATCATTGCAAGAAAATCTTGATTTATGCTCTTCATTGTTTTTCTTTTTAAGGTTCGTGGGTCATTACAGGCACATAGGCATCAGAGAAAAGAAAAGGTGTTCAAAAAAATTCCTGGAAGACTCTGTTTCAAATTAACATCTCTTGTTCCTCGTATTCTCTTGGATGAAGGGTAAGTACTTTTCAAACAGATTTCTTTGAAGTTGTATACTTTTTTCTTTCTTTTTTTTCATTATTATTGCATTCATTATCTGGAAATTGCTCCTTAATTCATATTCAAGAAATAGTTTCTAAATAAATCCAAACTTTGAAAAATTCTAGAAATTTAACTGTTACTGATTTTCTGAATTGTAAATGCGTAAACAATATTAACTTTCATTATTTTTTATGTCCGTCATGCCGTGATCCTCCTTTAGATTTCAGCTTTAATTTTAAGTGCTTTGTGTAATTGATAAATTCTTTTTATGGGAGTTTGTCAAGAGGTTGATTTCTCAAATTTCATATAATTTTATCAATAACCATTTTCATTTGTTTGTTTTTTGTTAAAAATATTTAGCAGTAATTGTTATAAAGTCAATATTTTTACAAATTGACAACATTTGGTGCAAAACCATTTTTCTCCTTGACTTTTTAATAAATACTGTGTATAGAATGGTTAAATAGGAATATTATCTTCATTGAAGCCCTTAAATTTCAATCACAGATTTTAAATTGATTTGTCATACACAATTTTAAAGTAAAACAATTTCATCAATTTTTTGAGCTTTTAAATCTCAAGACAATACACTCTACACTTAAAGCAGACATAAGTACATCATCTATTTCAACTTAGGTATTTTGGCTTGAGCCCAAACCTTTTCACATTTTTCTGCATAACCTTTATCAATTATATCTTCTATTTATTTAGATATTTAGGACATGTATTATTTTATGAAAACGGTTTAATCATAAAATTATTATAAATTGCTTTTTGTGTGTGTGTGTGTGTGTGTGTAAGAGAAAATTTTGTAATTATGCCCATATCTTTGCAGGTATGTGTTTCTGGGATTTACAAAGGATGGTCAGTTTGTCATCTCCTATTCCCTCCAAGTTGATACAGATGAAAACACTGGTTTTCTTCCAGTGTATGTATACAATCTACAGTGGTGGTGGTTCATACCATATAAACCTTTAAAAAAGGTAATTGTCTTCCAACATTTTTTTTATTATTATTAATGCAGAAATGTCAATTTTATAAGTAGTGTGAAGAATGTATGTCACATTTCAAAATAGTTAATCACTTACAACATAGGTAAAAAAAATAAAAATGGTTTGGGGAATAACATATTATAATGAATGCCCTTTCTTATACTTAATCCATGGAGCAAAATTTGGGGTATAAAGTTTTTCTCTGCATTTATGATATAGGGTTTATCTGAAAATTCCTATATTTCTTGAAGGATTTTGTGTGTGTGTGTGTGTGTGTGTGTGTGTCCAAAAATGTTTCAATTATTGCAGCTATATAGATGTTGGAGAGATACTATTTTTGTCTACAGTTTCCACACCAGCTACCCAACATTGGCTTTAAATTTAGGAAATGTTACTGTCATTGCATGGTTATATCTATCCAAGGCTGTTCATAACTGAACTGTGCTTTTTGGTTGTGACTGCAGGGAATTTACTGAGGTCTGCATCATGCCCCCATATATGCTCAATAGGGCTTGAAACTGGCAAACATGGGGTTGCAATGTAGCAACTGGAAGTCAAGAAAGTGTTCTGTGGCCCAGAGATGGAGGTTTGTTGCTAGCACAAACCATCGCCGCCTAGAAACATGGAGTGCCTACTTGGTCCACAAACCCCACCCATAGATTTCCTTTAGATTGCAGTTTCAAAAAAGTTATAAATTTAGTAACTCTTTATTTTTGTGTTGAATTCACTTAATAAATCCCATTTTTTTATTGCTTGAGATTCTCTTATCCCAAAATAACATTCTTGTTTTTGAACAAGAGAAGCAAATGTTTAAGTACTGACTGATGTTAATTTCTTAAGTTTTATCTAACTGTGGCTTTTCTAAGATAGTTTGCTATGACGTCTCAATGATAACTTATTTTGAAATTCTCGAGCATATAAATGAGCTACTTTCATTGAATATCTATTTATACCTAAATTGGGTATAATCGAATAGATCTGATGATTTTCAAAAAAAAAAATCATTAGCAAGAATCATGTATTGGTTTTCTACTAAAACAGCTATTTTACATTAGATCTGGCTTTGTTTGTGCATATGCCTAATATATAACTCATTTACCTATACTTTCAAAAAAAGGACAGCAATAGAAATAAGTATTTTACCTGTACAATTAACTCACTTGAATTCTGATTTTTAAGTCATTAAAAGTTAAAAATATACAACAGAAAAAAGCTGTGTATTTGATCTCCCATATGTATTGATGTTTCTTGTTACTATATCAGAATATTCCTTTATTAAGAAGGTAGTCATTCAGTGCAACTGATAGATCAGTTTTATATTATAGAATAATGTGTAACCTTGTGAAAATTAGGACCAAGAAATAAAATCTCAGAAAAACTATTTGGATTATTTGTGAAAATTGAACAAATTTTAAATGGCTAATGTAATTCCTAAAATTTTCAAAGAATGGCGTCTTTTTTTATGTTGTACAGGTTTCAGAGGTGCGCCTTTTTGAAGATGGAATTGAACCCGATATCTTCATTGCAGTTTGTGAATGGCCTGCAGACAGATCAAAAATTCTTGTCTATGGTCACTGGTAAATTCTTTCACTTGTTTATTTTGCAAGTCTTGGTTTGGAATTTGCAATCAATTTATTGGTTTTTTGGATTAGCACAATATGTTTATTACATTATTTATTGCCATGTTTCAAAGACTTTTCAGTTCTTGGAAACTTCTGGCTTTTATTAAAACTTGTGTTGCCATGATAAATGTGTCCCTGAGTTTACCAACCATAGAATGAATTTTTTTTTTTTTTTTTTTTTTTTTTTTTTTGGTTATATTTCCTTAATTGTCATTCCTGATTGTGGTTTCAGTGTCATACTACATTATGATTGACTTGTATATTTTATAACTAAGAGATGTGACATTTTCATCCTAAAATGAATTCATGGACATTTAAATTCATGCAAATGGAATTTCATGTATGGTTGATATTACAAGATAGCTCTTCCTTGTGTTGCTAGGTCTTTTCCATTGATTAATTGATTGTTGTTAAAATGAATTGAAGTAACTTAACGCGGCCTACAGTATAACCTAGTGACTTGTCGGGTTACTTTTTTGTGTGTAGAACTTTACAAAGCTTGTTACTTAAAATGTCTTAAGTTTTAAAAAATGTAGTTTTTAACCACAGCTCAGCTTACCTTTTTGCTATTTTATTTTTAGTAAAGTGAGAATTGAGTTTAGAAATTAAATTAAAAACTAATTTTAATACTAAATGAAATTTGATTTTTGTTTACAATAGATTTCTTTTCAATTTTCTATAACAGTGTACCAAGGAGTAGAGAAGAAGGAACTCAGTGCTTTATCACCATAACTGCCGTGCCACCTTTGAGTTCTTGCAAAGATTGTTACATTGCAGAAACCAATTTTCCCTGTAAGTCCATTTTAGAAATCATTGAATGTTCAATTTATCAAAATAAGTATTTTAACTTGGAAAATGCTTGTCTTTCTAATTAGGAGAATAGATTATAATTTTGTAATTGCTAAAACATGTGAACAGTACTTGAATTAGTGGCCATATAGTTAACAATCCAAATAGTAACCACATGATAGGAAACTTAATATTTTCTCATGCAAGAAAGACTGCTTTTTAAGATGTTACTTTCATCCAATAACGAAATCCACTGAGATTTTAGACTTTTTTTATTAAAAATTCTCAATTTAATGTTTTTGAATTTCTGTTACAGGTGTGAAGCATAAAAACAAGGTGATGTGCTTGAAACACAGTTTCTGCATCTACTGCAAATATGAACTGGCCCCACCATTTCCTTCTTTCATTCCTCAAATCCAGCTCAAAATGGATGGTGTGGTTGTCCTCAACACAGGAGATTCTCTTGTGGCCCTGGATTTCCGCATCAACCAACCTACAACTACTTGTAGTCGGACAGGTAACCATACAGATGAATCCAAGAGACTTTTCAGCTGTGGCAGTACAAACCCTGCTAACTCAGGGAGTGGCATTAATGCCAACAAACATGTCAATGGATATTATAATTTCAGAGGATCCCCAGTAGGCTCTGACTCTGCAGCAGAGTCTGATGAGGAGAGCTGGGGTCGGAATGATACAAAACCCACTTGCACTTCAGTGACAAGCACTTCATCATCTTGTACAACCACAACCAGTAGTTCCACTCCTATGAATAGCAGCAGTGGCGGTGGTGGCGGTAGTAGCAGCACAAGCATGACCAGCAGTGTGTCTAGGTGTTGCCAAAGGACTAAATTTCACCCAGTCAATCCCTCCAACACTGACCAAATGGAACAACCACAACAATACCTGTGCTGTTCGACTTGTTGTAGTGAGTCATCTGCCACAGCCTGTTGCCGGCACAGCAAGACAACTGGTCACTGCCGGAACTGTAACTGTGAGAACACTTGTCCTCTCTCTTTGAACAACTCCAACAATAGCACTGGTGGTGGGGGTGGAGTTGATGAAACCCTCACTAACCGAAGTCTGAAGCAGCCATGCTGTACTGTCTGTGATAGAACTCTGACCTCTGCCTCATCGGCATCTTGTCTCCATCATCATCATCACCACCATCACCATCATCATCATCATCACAACCACAGCCACCACCATCATGTCGGTACAAACTTCTCTCCAGCTCCACCTTCTCCTACCAGCTGCTGTGATAACCATGCTAACAGACTGAGTGACAACAACAGTCGTTGGTGCCGTGCTGTCAAGCAACGCGGCGGGGGCACTAGCCCGTGTTGTTGCACATGTGCCGTTGAGGCTGCCAAAACTGATTCTGCACCTTCGCTGCCATCACCTCTTCCTCCTTCTGCTGTTTTTCAGCACAGTACCAAGCTGAATGTCTTGGAGGAATGTCGGTGTTTAAAGAGAAATGGTGCTGCCCCTGGAGTTGGTACCCATCACTCAAAATGTTTCTGCAGCTCAGTTGGTGACCCTGACTCTAAAGAGAACATGGTTGAGTCAACCAGTCAGCATCCCAATAATAATAATAATAATGGTTTGTCTGAGCAATCTTTCTTCTCTCCCAGCAACAGCAGTAGTGGAAGTAACACAACAAACAGCAACGAAAACCTACCTGATTATTTACATCCTAATAAGTCTCGTTCAATGTCTTTCTCCTTGAAGAAATTTACATATCTTACTGAGGAGACTAATGTCGACTCCATTTTTCTCAATGAAGGTATGTTTGTAATTTTCTTGTCATTGAATTCTTCATTCTTAAAAATAAATTTGAGTACTTAATTCTAAAACCAGATAGAAAAGGAACCCCTCTTTTTTTTTCTTTTCTTTTTTCTTTTTTTTTTTTTCTTTCTTTTTTTGACAAATTGGTTTTATCTTTTTAATCTTAATTAGTGATGCATTCAATTGGTTTTGCCTTAAGCTGAGCTTCATTTTGAGGAGCAATTAGAATTTTATGACTTAGAATTTTTTTTTTCTCTCTTTCCTAATAGAAAAATGGCTCGTGAGGCTTTGTATATGGTTTCATGTCCCTTTTACAAGGGAGCACTGAAGAATTCTTGGTCTAACCTATTTTACAAAACTTGAACATGCATTTTTTTTTCCTTTCCGATGAAGGGCTTCTTTGTCAGGTGTGTGTGTGTTGTTGGGGGTGGGGTCCAGAACCTCTTGTGAGTTAAGTAAATGCTCAAGAAGATATACTATGTAAAATAAAATATAAAAAAAATACGTGAAAAGTCAGTTTGTCTCAATGCATCAAAACTGATTCTTTACATTACAATATTGACAGGCAAACAGAACAGTATTTGTGCTTTGGCATAGGCCCCCAAAGGAAACTCATCTAGCATATTGCTTGAAACAGTTAACTAAACCCTTACATTAGAAAGATTTCTTCTCTCTACAAACACCTGCACACTTTCATTTATCATTACAAGCCTAACAGATTTGTGTACAGAATACTGCTTGCAAAAAATGGCTTTGGAGTTTTTGAAGACAAAACCAAATTCACTCTGTAATGTTAAAGCTTTTCATTTTTGGATGAACTCTGAAAATTCAATCTTCATAATAGGAATCAAATAGCATTTAGAAAGCAAGATGAAATGTTTCTGATTTTCATTGAATTTCTCAAAGAAAAAAAAACTTATTTCTAATAAAATATTAGATTTCTTAAAACAAATGGTCATCTTTGTTTTATATCTAAGCAATAAAAATGTCTTTAAGTGTATTAAACAAATTTGTATTCTCTTTGTTAATAAAACTAAAATATTGATGCTGCAATCCAGAACCTTAATGGTTTGAGTAAAATTTGGTTTTTAACTACAAATATGAATTAGTACTGATTTCAGATTTGGACATTTCTAAGAATTTTATTTCTCCAATTCATACATAATTTCCCAGTAACTGGAGTTTTTCATTGCCATTTTTCTTCCTTGCATTAGTGATGGTGGCACAAAAATGTATATTCAACATTCTTTGCTCCCACCTTCCAATATTAAACCAACAATTCTATGTAAAATCCTTAAATCCTCCACAATCCTCTTTGTGATCATAACACTTACACAAACTGATAGTTTGGCTATGGGTTCATTTCTTGGTCCTCTAATCTCTACATGACTCATTTATAAAATTAAATTTTTAAATATTTTCACAATATGTCCTCTTTTTGGCAAATACCTTTTTATATTAGCTGATCTCTGGTTGTGTAAATCCTAAATATAAAAAAAATCTTCAAAAAATATAAAAATGTACTCCAAGTATATTTTGGGACATAATAATGATATTAAAAGATTTTCCCTGTAAATTTTAAAATCTTTACAATGACAAAAGTGATATAAATACAAATCTATATATGATGGTATATAAAACACTAGGAGCTGGTATAGAAATTGAAAGAGGTGGGAATGAAGATTAAAGTTTAATGAATAATAAAATCTGTGTTTATAATGTAAAATTTATGAAGGTCAAATGTAGAGGAAATGAATGTAAATTAAGTTTTTTTGTAAAAGAAAAAGTTTTGATTGCTATTCTGAGAAATGTCTACCTCTTCAATTTTTGCACCAACCCCCATTATCTAATTTGCCTATCCTCCCGTGTCTTTTAGTAATAAACTAGCCATCAGCTACTTTACTCTGAAGCTACCAGTGTTTGAAAATTACAGAAATATTTTTAAAAAGATATGACACTAACCAAAATTTTCCTCTTAAAATTGACAACCACCTTTTATTTTAAAAATGTAATTAATATAAAAACATTTGTAATGTTTTTTTCATGTCTTGACAAAAGGGATGTATTGTGAAAACATTTTCTGAATATAACTGTTCAGATGTTCATTTTTTAAAGCTTGTTAAATTTCTTGTAACTGAATCACAGCAACAGTTAAGTTTTGAGAGAATAACATGTAAAGAATTTGAAAGAATACCAAATGATTTATTTGTTTATGTAAAATGACAGCAAAAAACAAGATTCTGTTTCAGATGTGTGATAATCTGTAATTCCACAATATGGTATTGTAGAAGAAAATTACACTAGCAACCATCCCAAATTTAAAAACCTCATTAATTTATTATATTGTAAATAGTTGCACCCCAACTATAAACAAGAGAGAAAAAATATTAAAAATATAACTTTTAAGCACGTGTGACTTAATGATTGTAATAAATGCCTATGAGTTTTCATTTATTATGAAAAGTTTAAAATCATTGGGACCTCCAAATGAATTCTTGTACTCTTTGGGAGATTGCACCACCAGAATTAATCCTGAGAAAACTACATTAAATTCACACCCACCACATAACCACTTATTGGCATTTTTACCTCACAAAGAACTAAAATATCTATTACTAATATTTCTTGTATATCTTTTTAAAAATAAAAATTGTACATTTTATGTACATGCACACACAGTCTTTTAGTTATATGCCGTTATTTGCATTTGATACATGTAAATTTAATATAGAATTTCTTTAAAAACAAAAAATCACCAGAATAAAGCCAACAAAGTTTTTTTCCTACTGTGATTGATAATACTTACATAAAAAAACATTGTTGGTCAATTTCAATAAGGCATTTGTTGGTGTGAAATATGTACCCATACATCAAAAACAATACTGCATATATATGCAGTATTGTTTTTGATTTGTACAAATTATAATCAAAAAATCACTTGAGGTGTGAAACTGAGTCACTATGCAGTGTTGATTTCTATGTCTACACTTATTATATCTAAAAAAATACTCTGATATTGAGCACTGTTCCCACACATAAATATAGCAAATTATATATAAAATTTGCTATATTTATGTGTGAGAATAGTGCTCAATATCAGTGTACCTATACAAATGTATGTACCTGTGTAGGTATGAAAATCTAACAGAATAGTAGATTATATGTGGCAATTTTGAAAAATTTAGCTGGATATGTTATACCAGTAATAGGCAAAAGAGGCACCCAGTGAATCTGAGTATTCAAACAAATCTAGCATTTGTGATGTAAAACCATTTCAAATGGCTTTCGGTTACAAGTGTCAAGGCCAATGAGTTGCAGTATGCTATTACACCAACTTTTACATTGCTCAAGTCATTGATATTACATCTCTGTCCAGTACTGTAATCAACATTTTAGTTCCCACCAAAGGCAAAAAAATGATTATTTTTGGATGATATTTGCTCAAGTGGTGTCAACATTCGTTAAATAGACTTTGATATAATACCACTTTCAAAAGATAACAGATGACGTGTTCCAGAAATATTGGCTATAATAGCAGAGGTTTACAAATTCAGACTGCAAATCATCATTAGAAGTAATACAAGAGGGCCATACCAACTGTAAAGACTTTTCCATTAGTTCCAATAAATGTATTTTTATTAATTTCATTTTTGTTTAAGATGTATTTAAGACTTTACAATGAGCATTTGTTTCATGAAACAAATTTGTGTTTTGTAGTCATTACTGTCCTCTCTTTCTTCATCTTTTTTCTCATTCTTATTTTTAAGTTGCATTATTTCACAAAACCTTCTAAAATCAGATAAATTTATAACTAATGTTATTCATATTACAGAGTTTTGTTGAATTCCCCTTCCCCAAATTAGTCCGGTTTCAAAGTGGTATGCTTTTGACCTGTTTTACAGGATGAATTAGTTTCATATGAACAGCCAAAATTGCCCTTTTGTTTTATTTTTTAATGATTTCATTTTTGAGAACATTATTTACAATCTAGGTAAACTGCTTCTAATATGAAATTCTCTTACATTTTTTTTTTCTAGTTCAATAGTTAGATTTTCTTGCTCTTTTTTTTTTTTTTTTTTATTCAAATTAATTCAAAAATCTTTTAAAATTTAGAATAATTGCACTTCAAAATCTGTTAAAAATATTATCAATGTAAAATAAATTTTACATCAGTAGCAGGAGTTTAACAAATAGAAGTCTTCCTCTCCCCCCCCCCCACCCCAGCAAAAAAAAAGTAAGTTAACATCCCAAGATTTAAAGAATAAACAATTTCCTGTTACTAAGAAATCAACTAGTGATATATAAATTTTCTTATTTGACAAAGGGACAAAAATTTGTTAGTGTGTTTATTATTTATTTGTTTATTTTCTTATAAAACAATGAATGATTTTTACTTTTTGTGTCTGACTTGATTCATCTAAGCAATTGTTAAGATTCCCTCTTGGAAATTATGCTCTGGATTGGTAACTTTGCATCGAGTATTGAAATTTATTTTAAAAACTAAATGTTTTAGTAAATCTGAAAGTACCAAAAATTTCTTATTTAACCATTTACCTAGATTAGATTCTTCAGTTTTAAATAGGCACTTTCATTGATAGAAGCTTTTAATTATACAGGCTGTGGCAGAAATATCTCCCAATGGTAGTAAGATATTAGCTAGATGAAGACACCATTGCCACTGATGTCTTACCATTATGGGAGGTATTTCTGCCTTGCCGTTTATTTTGATGTGGCAATAGTTTTTTTTTTTTTTTATATATAATTAACTTTTAGTACATTGCTTTTGGTTGGTAATGACTCTATGAATGTATGGAAAGGAAATTTTAAAAGAAAAATCTTGTTAGTGTTAGAAATTAAATAGAATTTTCCCTTTTTATTGTCTTGAATTTGTTCAATTTGAAATATTTATACATCGTTTTTGTTTTATTTCACTAAGGCATGTTATTAAAATGTTTATAATTTTTTTCTTTTCTTTCCCCCAGATGATTTTGATTTTGATTTAGCTTACCGCAGCATCTTACCTCTTGAAGTGCGTGGCACTGATCAAAAAATGATGACAGCTACCAAGTCCAATACAGATTCAAATCAGGTTAGTTGTTTTTGCTTCTTTTTTTTTCTCACACACACACACACGTTCTCTCTCTTTTTCTTGCTCTCTCTCCCCCTTATTTGATCTTTGTCATTTTCTTATTTGCCAAATACTTTCAAGAAAGAACTTCAAACTAAAGAGGAAATCAATTTGGTGGCAAATTTTAATTTGTGAGCTGTTTCATAAATGACAATTCTAGTTTTTAAATCACATTTGGCTTTTCTCTGAATTTTTACAAAGATTAGCTTGATTAGAAAGCTACTGAAAAGTTAATTTCAACAAATAATGTCAAAGAAGCTTGAAGCAAAAGAAGTTTGAAAGTGATTTCTCTAAATTTCTTTTTTCTTTTTTTTCTTTTCTTTTTTTTTTTTTTTTTTGAGATTGTTATTGTAAATATAAAATTGATTATCTGCTTACCTCGCTTTGTAATAAGTGATTTCCCCTTTTTTGATAAAGTTGGTTATCTCCCTTACATGAATCATTTTTGTATTGAAGAAACTGGCTAAGTTATAGACAATGGATGTAACAAAATGTCACATTGTATCAGACTTTTTTGTCATTGTTTACGCTCATACCATATAGTTAAGTGTTATTCTTTGTAATTATTTGCATTTCTCTCTCTCGTTATTGTTCATTATTTAAAGAGAAAAACAGAGAATGGTAGTAAATATGAAGTCTATTAACAATTTACAAAAAAGGCTGCATACTTGCATTATAAACCATTTCACATCACTTGAACAAATCCTGAAAATGCCTAGTAACATACATCTGGTACAAATTCATTATTGGAAATTAAATTTGATGAGCTTCCTTTAATTTCAAATGCTATTGACATAAATTTCTGATGGTCATTACCTTGTGGGCATTTTTGAAGAAACTTTTCTCATAATTATATTTGTTGCTTTGGAAGAAAGTTTAGATATAAAGAGAAATTTTCATCTTATTTCTTTTACACCAAGCTCCAGATGTCACAAGTGGCTCTTCAAAATTTGAAGGATTCTTTACTGTTCATAGTAACAAATTTAACTCCAGGCATAAAAAGGTTGGTAAAATTAAAACCAACACACAAATCTCATAAAGGAACGTAATGTTTATTTGCAACTTTAATAATATTCTGTTGTCTATCAGTGCTTGCTCGAATGATGATCTAATTTTGATTTTTGCTAGCATTGTAAGAGGGAAAATGATTACTAATTGCTGCATAATGCTACCTTTTGAAATATTTTAGGTGTAAAAATAAAATAAATTCTATATTTAATAATACTAATAATTAAACATAGCCAATCCTGTGCAAAACAGTCATTTTATGACTATGCAATTATTTGCTGTATCTCATATCACTTCACTTTCTATATGGTCTTTTCCTTTTGCATTTACTACCTATTAAATACAAACTAAGTGATCTTTTACACAATCTATTGTTGTCCTGCTCACCTCTATTTTGGTCACTTAATCACTTTAATTATCCACTTCCTAATCCATCTTTTGATTTATACCTGGCAATGCTCTTTCCATTGATCCTTGTATATTTTTGTAAATTTTCATGTTTTGTGCCTGTATTGTCATAGCTAGCAGTATATAATTGTTGTGCACTTTCTAAGCATATTTGTCAAAGTGCTTTTAATTATGTCTTACTTTCAAATGTTTTCCACTATCATAAATTGTTTGACATTTCTGTGGTCTTAGTTAATGTAATTGCCTGTCTTAAGTGTTAAAATTGTATTATGGCACTTTCCAAAATATAAAGGCAACCTCACTCCTCTAATAGACTTTTGGAATTTTCTGTCTCCATCATTCTATTTGCAATTTCCTGAGAAACTAGTTTATTTAACTAGGAATTATCTACATGTGATCATTCTGAAGAGTATTTTGTTTTTCTGATTAATTTTAACCAGAAGTATAATTATTCCAAGATTTTATTGGTTCTTCAACTCTTATTATCCTTTTCAAAATGCTACTTGTTTCATTTTTAAATCTACATTGAGACTTACTCTATTTAGTTCATTTTACATTTCTTGTAAATCATTTATTGATTTTGCTATTAGTAAAATGTAGTCAGCAAATCATTGCTGGCTTAAATATTCTTAGTTTATTTAATTCCCAGTTCATTATCTGTAACATGATTTCAAGGCCTGCAGTAAATAGTATAGCTGAAATTGTATCCCCTTACCTCCATTTGTTTTTCTAATCTAGATCTTTATCTATCTTTGTGTAGTTGAACTATTGCAATAACTCTTATGTAATGCTCTCTAAATACCCTACTCTTTTAATGAGTTGACTACTCTGTTTTATTGAGTGCTTTTTCATAGACAGTCAAACTAAACTAGGTGCTTTTTTATCTTTTTTTTTCACTTTTTTAAAAAAAATTGTATACGCTTCATTGAGTAAACATTACCTAAAATATCTTTACTTTCTGAGAATTCTCAATTTTAAAGGCAAACTTGCCTCTGTAAAGCTACCATTTTTATTAACACTTCCTATATTAACTTTATGAAAGTTCTTTAACAATATGGTTGTTTTTTTTTTTGTTTTTTTTTTGTTTTTTTTTTTTAAGTTCATATATTGGTAGGTAGTCTTTACTGCAGAAGTGGAGTTTTTTCTTGGTCTTTAATCTCCTAGTTTATTTCTGTGCAGGCCTTTAGTGACTTCTTTGAGATTTAATTTCAAACTTGTCTGTCATTCACTAGGGTCTTAAACATATCTCACTAATTTTCATTTTAGAGTCTTTGAATTCTTTCACTTCCTGTCTTTGCTTGTTGGTTTTCTGTAATGTTTTGACTTGCTTTGAACTTCTCACTCCAGCTCTTGACACTTGGAAATGATTTGATAATATACTTCTCTTGTTTTGTGAGCATCAATAATTCTTTTTCTCAAGTCTAAACTAATTTTTTGTTTTTAATATGATACTTTTACAAATGACAACTCAAACACTTAAGCTGTTGTACTGTGTGTATATTGGAAGATAAACCTCAGTATGAACTTCAGTTCACAAGTTTAGAGGATTAGTAAGTTAAATTACAACAGTAGTCTATTGGGATATGGCTCCACAAACAAGAGAATTCTGAAGTGATCCTAATAAGTTTTGGTTTGTTTGGAATAATTCTATTGAATGCAAATAAAAAGAAATTTACTGCTTTATCAGACTAATGTTTAGCAATTTTGTATTAAGAATTGCTTGTCCTATTAAAAAAAACACTAGGTGAATTTTATTTTTTTAAACTAATTTCAGTTTTCATAGAAAGCTAGTAAGGGCTGAGTGGTTAAAACATTAGCACTTTGATTATGAAATCTAGGTTCAAATCTCATCCTGATCAATTTGTCAGAGGTAAGTTAATACTATTGTCCTGGAGAGTTGATCCCAACATTTGACACTGTTGAGAATTGGGATAGTTTTTTTTTTTTTTTTTTTTTTTTCTCCAACCCCTCTGCTGGCTCCTCGTCGCCACTGGTTGCTTCTCACTTCAACTGCAACACCAAGTTTTTGGTTTATATGCATCTCACCCAACTCTTACTGCCACTCAAAGCTTGTTGTGTATAAATCAATTAATTATTTTCTCCAAATGATACTAACCTTCAAAGAAAGCAGTCAGCTATTCCAAAACAAACTTTGTTCCCACATTCTTTGACAGTCGGCTGTTTTCTCAAAACCAATAATTTTTCTGTCTACAAAGTTGTGCATTTAAGAATTTATTTCAAATTGGCAAAGAATTCTTTTGTTTTTCAAATTTTTTACTTCCAGTCCCTGTTCTGTGCTGGGGCGGGGAAAGTTTATCACCTGATATATCTCAAAATTAACTTATTAACCCATTTATACTTATTCTGCTTTCCACCAGTTCTAATCTTGTCACATTCAGTATCGATATACTTCCTTGTGCCATCTGGGCTAAAATTCTCTGATCTTTTTCCATTCCTTCCAGCTTTTCCCTTGTAATTTTAATTTCTGCTTTAGTCATTGTTCCAAACAGAACACTTAATGCCTTTCTAACTATGGCAGTTACTGCTCTTTTCTTTGTCTGTAACAGTTTGATTCCTTCTAAATAATTTTCCATATCTTTACACTGGACTTCTATTATAGCCATCTCCATTTGCAGGAAGTACAGTAATCTAAAGTATTGTTCCTCTCTGATATAATTCTCCACTACCGTCATTCTGGCTTTCCTCAGCCTAAGTAGTTCACTTCCCAATTTATTTAACAGCAATTTGTAGGGGTTCAAATCTATCATGAAAGTGACTAACCATTATGATCGTGTTACTGTTACTTCACTTGTTTTTCTGAAATTTGTATTTTGGCTGTGCTTCCAAGCTCCTACTGCTACCATCATTATCAGTAGTATCAGCCTCGTCATGCCAGCCATTCCTGCAAGTGTAACAAGATTTCTTTGCTTTATTTTTCTGATCTTACATTTACACACTTTCATATTTAATTATTTTCTTCCCTTTTTAATTTTTTTCAATTTCAACTTATTTTTGCTTGGTAATCAATTTTCAGCAGGTTTGATTTGTTTCAGATAGGTATGTGTGGCACTTTTGGCCCAAAGGTTGTCTCTCATCAATACTACTGCTGTACATACACAAGCCCTTTGTGCAGACCAACAACAGCACCAATAAGTAATTTTGTCCACCCTTCATGATGGGCTATCTACATCGCCATCCTCTCCATCCAACTTCTATGGGTAAATTGTAATGAATGAATGGGTCATGAACTAGGATTAAGATAGCTAGTGAAGACCAGCCCCCCCCTCCTTTTGCTCCCCTTCAGCCTTTTGCCACAATTTTGTAATTTTACAAAATAAATATCCTCTCCCTCCAACTTCTGTTAATTACTGAATGAACCCAGCATTATTGCACACTGACATTGAATCCATCCATCCCATTGTTCTCACCGATATTTCTCTTTATTGGGATTCAGGGTTTCCTGCCCCTCTGTCTCTGCTTAATGGGTAACTCTGGCTCAACTTCTGGCCTATTCTCTTCCCATAACTGTTTTTGGATTTGGGAGAGGTGTATTTCATCTTTCTCTTCCCAATCACTTAGCTCCTCCTTCTCTTCAGGAGGTTTTGAATCAGAACCCCAGACTTCATCAC